CCACAATCATGAATGAACAGGAGGTGATGTAGATCACTTCCCATTCATTCATATTTGAGGATATAGTCAACATTCCATGTCCTCAATTATTTACAAACACTCAGCGATCGCTGAGTGTTTGTACCGCTCTCCTTCCTGACACACTGTCACAGGAGGCTGAGCGAGCGGAGCAGGGAGGAGAGCTCAGCCTCCTGTGACAGTGCGAGCTGTCTCCGCCCCCACACAGCTCTGCCGGACAGGTGGCTGAGCGGTGTGGGAGGAGAGATGCTGGCCGCTCACAGTGCTCTTCTCCCGCAGCGCTCGACCAGCTGTCACACGTTCTCTCCTCCCCGCTGGAACACAGAGCAGCGCCCAGCGCAGAGGAAAGAAAACAGGGATGTGCTGCTGTATCGGCACAAAAATGGCACTTTCGGCATTTATTCAAAAGTGTCATTTTTAGCCGAAAATGTTTCGGCGGTCGATATATCGGTGCATTCCTAATATTTTTATTTATTCAGTAATGTGTTTTAGTTTATAATTGCAGTTTAGTTGTTTTGCAGACTTCTTTCTAAAAAGCAGACTTTACATATTCATTGTCATATTACATTATTATTATACTTGTCTATTATCTATACCAGAGATGGGCAAACAAAAAAATTACCTTTGCAGTGGGCCTCCCCCCACACTGCAAAGGTTAGGTGCTCGATTTTTGTCTGAGAACTGGAGTAAAGAAGATTTACGTACCTTATCCCCACACCTGCCAGCTCCTTTAGGCCCCGTTCACATTGAGCGATTTATCGTGCGGTAATTCCCGCGATATCGCGGCTATTTACCGTGCGATATCGCTCTTCAATGCATCTCAATGGGGCAAAGGTCCTGCTGTCGCGGGTCGTGTGTCGCTACAGCAGGACCCTTTTTGGAGCGGATTTTGCCGCGATTCTCGCTTGCTCAATGCATGCATTTGCACAAACGTGCCTTTTGCAAATCACGCAGTGTGAATGGGGCCTTAGGGCTGCTAAACCAGTCTCAGCAGCCTCCTATCCCCCTAGCCGAACATGCTGAGCATGTTCGGCTGATCCGAAGCCACACGAAGCAAGCCGATGTACGGCTGATTTCAGCCGATATACGGCTGAAATCAGCCGTACCAGCCTGAAGTGAATAGCCGAACGGTGTTCGGCTCACTTCACTTCTGATCGGTCATTCACTCGGCTGCCCTCGGCAGCTTTGTGAATTGACCCCTATGTCTAAGGATAACTGATGTCATCACGTCTATTGCAGGTTCCATGGACCTGCATTAGAAGTGAGGATGCTGAGGGACATTCCACCAGCAGGAGCAGAGGGGGGCCTGATGAAGGGACTGCATAACATTCTAAAACATTGCATTTGTATGTGAAAGGTAACACTACTTTTGCCTGATGAAGGGTCTGCATAAGGTTCCAAAACTTTGTGTTTGTATGTGATGGTCACACTATATTTGCCTGATGAAGGAACCACATAAGGTTTCCGAAATGTTGCGTTTGTATGCGAGGCCATGTTTATCCAACATCAAATAAAGACGGGACGATTAAGTGGACCTCTGGTGTGCTGGTGGCTTATTCTTCTATATGTTGATCCACGCGGCACCATCCACAGGCCACTTCAGCACCCACCAAAGTATTTCAATTAGGATTCTGGTGTGGGGTACGATGGGATATTCTCAGACAGAGAGAAAAGGAAAGTGCAGGCTGCTGGGGAGCAGGGATCAGGTAAGTAAATCAGCTTTACTCCAGCTGCTAGACAAAAACGAGCACGCGGGGGTAGTCTGTTTTGCCCAGAGATGGGCTTTAGTTCAAATGAAAGCATTGTCTGCTTCTGAGAGCTTACAATCTATTCATATACAGAACTGTAGATAGATAGAGACGTTTACAGCCTACTTAGATAAAAGTCATAGGAGAAAGAGCATGCAGTTTTTCAGAATATAATGAAACTTATCATTTATTATTATATATAAGTGATACTGTAGAGAGCAGAAGGACCTGTCAGGGGTTTATCGAGTAATAAAGAAAGTAGAATAGTTTAAAATCTTTTAAGTTGTTTTAAATGGTTTAGTGTTTGAGTCTTTCTAATCTCCTGTTTAGTCTCCTTAGCTATTGTGGAAAAGAAAGCATGTTAGAAAATAAACCAATGGAAAAGATATTTAAGAAAACACCTGTTTTTATTAAAGAACTAAGCATGTATTTTACAAAATAAGTAGCATTTAGGAACTGCTGAATCTAGTTTTGATATAAAGGAATGTTAATCTCAAGTTGTTTTGAATAAGGCTTTGCATGACAAGATAGTATGTTATTGCATTTCAGGAGGAGACAGTCTAATGCCTTTATTCATGTGTTTAAGCTAACTGTTTTCATGCCAGTTTAAATACATTTTGCAGGAGACCCCCAGTTGTGCAGTAATGCGTCTGTTATGTCCCAACTTGCCATATTTTGTTTATACTGTACATGAACTTGAATACTTTTGAGAGCTGAAAAACAACCATGCCGTGGCATGTTACTGGGCTTATCAAACCAAATGTAAGACTACATTAATCCCATTAGCTCTGGGTTAGCAAACTCATGGCATTTTACATTCAGGTCTCCGTGCTTTCCAACCATGATCTATTGATCACAGAAAACCAGTTCTCTCTTGATTCTTACAGTTGACTTTACAAAGATGCCTTGTAGAAAAATAGCACCCAAACTCTTTTAAGTACAAAGAAAAATATTGTATCCTCCCCTCCAACGCTATGGCTCTAGCTGATCTTCTCAGGTGAGAATCCTGCCTCTAAGAATTTTAAAATATAATTTGTGTGTAGGAATTATCATAGCTGCAATATGGTGTAATAAAGGTCAAGCTAATTTATGATAGATAGAGTGAGTGAGTGAGTGAGTGAGTGAGTGAGGTTGGATTGAAATTGTATGTTTAGTATAACTTTTAGATAAGCCAAGGAAGATCACATTGATTTCATATATTATACAATTTCATATCCACACTTTAGGGCCATCATGGAGCTAATATTTTGTCTTCTTTACAATATCACAATCCATACTCCATTGTATTCAATTGTTTTGTTTCCTGTGTCCTGGTTGGGACCAAGGCCAAATGCACCCTTTCTCCCTTTATTAAAATGGCACCTGTTGTATTGATGATAGTTTGATCTTTTCAGCATCCTTTAAAGATTTATGTGTCAAGATAAAGATTTTATTTGTCAAAACTGATGTGTAAAATTGATTTATGGGGAAGAAGGGGTGGATGGTGCCCTTCTAAACATAGTCCATAAAGTGTGCAAGCATACAGAGGAAATCAGATTGTCTGTATTAATGAACCTGCCTTATTTTGTCTCAGCCAGCCAAGGCTTTACTACACAGGGTCACTAAACAGTTTTTTTTATTTATGCTAAATGTATTTATTGAAAATTATTTTAATAAAGCAACTTATTAACACAAATTTGATATGGAAATTGATTTGGCTATCTGAGAAAAAAGGTCAGATTTTCTATCAGCTTTGTATTGCTACTTACTCTTACATAAAGTGTGGTCATCAGGACAGGAAGTAAGGTGAATTCCCCAGTAAGTTCAACAGCAAAATAACATATTACATATGTTCTAAACCTTCCCAGTGTATATATATATAT